TGCTGTCTTCCAGCAAAACCATCTCCAGTGGAGCCCGAAAATGCACAGCCAGCACTTCTTCAGGAAAGCAACAGGAACATTAGCTCCTTAAGAACTTAAAACAGGAGCAGTGGGCAACAAATTATTCCCTTTACTCCTTTCTCATTGTTGAGCCAAGGAGAAATTGTGAAGTGGGCCACACAAGCTGAAGGGTACTGTTTCTCAGGTCTTTGTGGTCCAGTGAGACTCAAATCCACATTTTCAGTGACCCCTCTCCCTTTTTAATATTCAAAGAGTGAGGATCTGCTGAGATCGAACCAGTCTGAAGAGCTGGCTTTTAATCAGACTGGAACTGAGCTGTGTTAAAGCTGGTTACCTAAGCTCAAACGTGCCTGGTATCCATTTGCTGCACCACGAGATGTCCTGAGAACTCAGGAGCTGCTGCCAAGATGGTGCTGGGCACAGCCGTGCCTGCGTGGCACACGCTGAAGCACTAGCCCAGACCTCTGGAGAAGGTGGCCATTGGCAGGCAGCACCCCCTCAAAACACACGATGCAGGCAGATGAAGCTGTGCGTCGGCACACCGGAGCCTCCTGTCTGAAGATATCTGCCTTACTGGTACTTAAGTGCATTTCAGTGTGTTAGTGTGTAACGCAGTGCACAGATTTCTAACAAATCTCAGTCCACAACACTTGCTAAGCCTTTTTCTATTAATTCAGGCCATGTCTGTCAACAAAGCTGGTTTTGTAGCAGTAGCACTGATGAGAAGAACCAAAGCATTCCAGTACATCAGCTGATTTAGTAGAAGAGCTCAAAGTAAAATAAAACCAGTTTAAGTTTGTCTGCAGGGCTGAATCTGAAGCACTTGCACTCATTACAGCAGGAACAGCAGCACAGAAGACATGCCAGAGCTGTGCCTTAAACTCTTGGGGATCTGCCCCTCAACCTGTTTTGTTAGCCAGGCAAGTTCAGGTCTGGACAAGCTCCCCACCTCCCCCCGTCCCCACTTCAGTGCTCAGTATTCATTACATGAGTTGCAAGATTCCCTAGTGAACCAGACAAACCCCAGCCTCTTTAAATTCCACAAGGATGAAAGTTCAATTAAATTTTTTTTTTTTTTTCCATCCATGCATTTTAGTGTGGGTTTTATTCCTGTCAGATGTTTTACCCAAGATGGAGAAACAGCCTTAGAAAATGACAGGGGAGTTTTTGCTTGGCTATGTCTGCCAAACCCCAATTTCTCACTTAGAAGTATTTGCGCTACCCCGAGGGCCAGGTGTCAAGAGGATTTGCTGCAGCAAGAGGCCTGGGCCCAGGAATGAGGCAGCCTTCTTGGCCACCTCCTCATGGTTTAAGCAAGGGTTAGGACAAAACCCGTTGCACTCCAGCTTCACTTTTCCCCCAGCCTTTCAAGTTGGGGGTCTCCCCATGTTAATTTGATGCTGGCTGCCATCCCCCCTATGGCAGCTGGAATGCTAGATATAAATTTGCTGTCATGATCCAAGTCTCCCGTTACTCCAAACCAATGAGCTATTTCTCCACCTTCATGCCAAGAAGGGGCTCAGCTCTTCTTTCCAGACCCTCTGCTTAGGGTACCACACCTCAGAAACAGCTGTCACAAGTATGCTTCCTTGTCCTGATACATTCCTAGGGAAGAAAAAAACTCTTTAAATGGGCAATTTATGTGAAGATAGCTTCAGAGCATCACAATTTCCACTACAGAGCTTCTGACTTTCCAAAATGAAGGGCTGGTTTTTAGAAAATGGATGATTTTCCTTCTAAGAAACCAGCAAGGTGTATCACACTGGACAAAGGTAGAACTTACAGATCTCTCTACAAAATATTTATTGTTGACAGCCACAACACTGAATTCTCCACAAACGTTGTATTTTGTGACAAAGCATAATTTGACTTCATGTATTTACACTCATGTGGCAGATACCACCTAGGAGTCAAACTCCCCATAGCAGCCCACGACCAAAGAGGCCAGTTTCCAAAAGGCTTGCCAGGATTCTAGCCCCTGACCCGAAACCACGGTGAAGTCTCTTAAGAAAATACAAATATAGTCCAGAGGCACTGGAAAAGATGCACTGCTGCTTCCAAACTTGCTATTTCACTTGCTACCGTGTCCCTCAGAGGAGGGGCTGGGATGTTAACCAAGGACCTGGGAGCCTCAATTTAAAAAATCTCTTATAAGTTGGAGAAAAGAATTACACTCAAAAATCTACAGCCCAAGCAGGTGTGCTCAGCCACCAGCACTGCCTGTTTAGATGTGGGCTCTTGAGCCTCACTTCCCCTTTGAAGAAAGGTCTTTACTTCACCCCAGAGAATGTGGGGGGAGGGATTAATCTCTTAAATGTGAATTTTGGAGGGGGAATGCTGTTTCCTGCTTGGATTTACATAAGGTCAGGCCCTGTTAGACTTAGGCATGCCATTTTTAATGAGGCACTTCTCAGAAATTGCAGTCTTCATACTTTCAGAAGAGCACCCAGCAGCACTGAAGGCTTTATTCACCTTTCCTAGCCTAGAAAGAAATGTGACACTCAAGTTCCTTCACAATACTTGGCATGTTTCCCTCTTTTAAAGGCCAATGGAAAACACTTAGTGCTCCACCAACCAGGAAGAACGTCTTTGCCCATGTGGGTGCCCATCAGCATTCAGCTTTGATTTGGAACTGAGCATTAGTGCTGTGTTGTGCACAAACTTGTGAATTTATCTTACTCTGGAAAGCCACTGATGTGTCCTCCTAGATCAGCCCTTTGGTCCTCTCTTCCTTAAACGTTTCACGCTGCAACACGCAATGTTTTACAACACTGCAAGCGGAACACAGATGAACAACAGTCTCTAGAAAAGTGCTCAAACCACGTTAGCCAAGAGCATTTTTAGAATAAAAAGACTTTCAGACACTTCCCTGTGAAGAATAACAAGAAAAATCACCGGAGGCTCTCTGTTTGCATCCTCAGGCAACAGGCTTGGTAAAACCCCAACAGATGAGTGCTGAAATTTTAACTGTTAAAATGCACCACAAACACCAAATACCTGTATTGTACAAACCGCTGCAAAATACAGCTACTTATGGAAACCCTAACAATGGTAAAATAGCACCAAGCAGCCTGAAATGCAATGACAAGGAGTTAAGAGGTGGGGTGTCAACCATGAGGGCGGAGATAACCACCTCCCTTTGCACTGGGCATTCATAGGTGACTTGGGACAGTACAGGACAGGAAGAGGGATGCTGGTGCAATAGTGTGGGCCACTCCTCTGCATCTCCAACAGAAGGCCTGCTTGGCAAGATCGAAAGCATCACCTCCCTTCCCTCCTCCAGTCTGCAGGAGGGCAGCTCACATCACAGACCCATGCCATTAGAAATCATAATCGTTTACTCTGGAAAAGACATTTAAGATTGTTGATTCCAGCCATTACAGCTCTGAACTCGTGTGGTAGCATCGGCACAGGTAAGCAGGGAGCCTGAGGAGGAGTTTCAAGCAGAGCACCACCCCAAACATCCATCTGATGGGCTGGCCTCAGGTGGGCAGTCCTGCCCACGCTCGCTGCTACTGCAAAGGAACCAGGGAGGAGAAAGGCTCGCTCCCCACCCAGCTCTCAGCACATTGCCACTCACAAGCACACTGCAAAACAAAAACGCAAGGAAAATCTAAAAAGAAGCAGCAGCTCTTCCACAAGATGATTCACATGTCCAGGGAGACGCTCTGAATTCTATACAGGGCCCCACAGCTGAGACAAACTTTGCTGTAATAGGGGAACATCTGGACAAGTGACTTAAGGGAAGGTGCTTGAGCACAGTTTTCCAGGATGGACTGGCACTTCAGAACTGGCAAAGAGAACACGCCCATGACTGTGCCTGTCACCTTACCAGCACTCTACGTTTCAGAGAGGGGAAGCATGCCTGACTGGGTGGGGGAAAGAATCAACTTTCCAAGCTGTGACCCAGCACATAAAATCAATTGTGTCTGAAAGGCAAGAACACAACAAATGCCACATTAATGCTGAACCTCTCCCAGCCTGCTGGTGGATGTGTTTGGTCAACGCAGCATTGCAGGAACAAGAAACTGGAACCAGGCCTGAAGACCAGCTTGCCAGCCTTCGTGTCACTCACTCACAAGCCCTCTGAATCAGCAGGAGAGCACAGCCCTCCCATCCCCTGGAGCAGGGCCGCAGCAAAGCACAGCCAGCAGTCACAGCTAAGATTCTTAAATTAAATTCTGAAGACACCATCTGACAAAGGAATCATTGCTCATTTGGGACTGAAAACCTCCAGGACCTGTAATGAAGCACATGACAAACTAAGTGCATGTCAGTTTTATCAAGAAAGGGCTACAGGTCTAAGCCTGGTGTGGGGAGAATTTAATTGAGCATATTTACAAACCAGGAAGGAAAAACTGCATCGGTGAAGGTAAACAGTCCAGACACCCCACAATACTGGCCCACATCATAGTCTTTAATATCTAAAAGTAAAAAAATATGGCCCATTCCCACTGCCCTCCCCCCCACGGTATTTACAAGTAAGACCAGCCAGGATGATACATAATGAAAATACACAGGCAGACTGTGCTTTCAGTCAGTTTGGTTTCTCCATCTTCCCGCTGACAGACTCCTTTATTGCTTGGGACACTGACCGGACCTCATCAGAACTGTCTGTGCCCTCAGATGCTGGCACAGCAAACAGCAGGGAGCCTTCGGCAAGCACTGGTAGTGGACAAAACCTGCATGGTTTGTTGCACACTGGACCATCAAAAAGAGGATGACAGGATGTATCATGTGTATTTGCAGTCACCCGCTCTCGTGGTGTGTTCCACGGCAAGAGAATCTAGCATCTGCTGTCCAAGCTGAAAGCCATCAGTGTTCACATTTGGCACAGAAGGAACTTTGCACCTGCAGACTGAAACCAGAGAGATCCCAGAGGTGAAAACATGCGTTCACTAGAAGGAACTGCACATTCCACCTTGGAACATCAACAGCCTCGTGCACTTACAGAAAGAAAACACACAATTACAGCTTAAAAAAATGCCACAAACATTTTGTAAATAAAACAGACTTCATTGCTCTTAAAAGTAATACTGTGTCAGTTCCAACTTCGGCTGAAGCCTGCTGGGCACGGACTGGAAGGTAAGAACATGTAGCATGCTGGGTCTGAACACGCCAGGAGGCCGAGCGGAGGAGTCCTCGCAAAGAAATGCGGCAAATAAAGGTAAGATGTATGGAGATGTGTGCAGGAACAGAAACACAGTCTAGGAGACCTAGGCAATTCCAACACTATGCTTGCAATGGTGGATCGCTGCATGGAAGTCATCGGACAGCAGCTGCAGCGTAGGAATTAGTCATCGATAGTTGGCAACCAGAAGGCCTGCAGAAGAGGAGAGAAGGAACATCTTTTACAGGGCAGGACAGAAATCACTCCTACAGCACACTGCAGGAGGCAGCAACCCCCTCCCAGCAGCAGTTTAAGGTTGCACTGGTTTGGTTTGCACTGCACGCTCTCCAGAGCAAGCCAGTCTGACACAGACTGAGAACAGGAACTGTGCACAGTGACCTAAAGAACCCACACGTCTGCATGCACACTCCCCTGGTGCTCCGCTCTCACGTGTGCTCAAACACTGCCTTGCCAGGTATGCTGCCCCACACATCTGCCTGCCAGGTAAGGCTCAATGCACGCCTAGCAGACAGGGCTCAGCTCTTGCCAAAGCCCAAGAGAATACCCACTAGTGGCACGGAGCCTTCTCAGGTTAATTTCTAAAAGAGCCAGCACCTCAGTGAGCCAGGAGGAACTTAGAACACTGTCCTTACCATATTGGAACATGCGCTGGCAAAAGTCATGAATTTTGGGTTGAACTGCAGACAGGTTATAGGACCTGTGTGTTTCCCATCCAGCACAGCCACCTTCATCCCACTTTCCCCATTCCAAACATGAATCTTCCCATCCTCCGAACCTGTGGGCAGGAGTGGAAAAGATATACAAGATACATGAGAGAGGACTGCACAGAACATGAAGAACAGAACCTTTTCTGTCACAGAACCATAGGAACAAACATGCCTCATCTTCACGGCTTAACCTTTAACACTCTCAGAGTATCACTAGGGCATTTCCAAAGCAGCACCAGAGTTCACACACCTGCATCCAAACACCAGGTTTAGATCTCTGCACGGCAGAGCCTCAACCACACAAGGCAGCACAACGCTGGTCTGGCAAAGAGGTCACAGCTATGGCCACCCAGCAGAAAAGAAGAGCTGACACCACCCAGCCGAGGAGGAAGGACCCCTGCCAACCAGCACCGACGTGTGAGAGGCTGAAAGCTGGGTGTAAGAGCCATTGTTCACACAAGGTCTCAGTTCAGACACAAAAGGAGATAAATATTTCACTAAGTAGGCACAGAATCAAATCAAAGGATTTCTCACTAAGGTAACCAGATTTCAGGGCACTATGCCAAACACCAAAAGCTTCACTACAGACGTTGACTCTCCACATTGCTACAATGGGACAGGCTCTTCGCTTTCAAATGGCATTTTACAAACTCAGAGGCCAAGCACTTAATATTATGATTTAATTCTGCTTTAGCCTCATTTTAAATAGCATTCCTAATAAAAATACAAAGAATTTATGTATTTATACATATAGCTTTTCAGGGAAGAAAAATCAAGCACCGTAAGTGACAACTTAACCATATGTAAGAACTGAACTAGGAAATAAGTGGTTTGGAACTTCTACCACTATAGTTTTCATTTGGAAGGGCTCAAGAGGAAGGTAAGTATGTGCAATAAAGTGCTCTCCAGAGACAGGTTAAAGAACCCCACCCCTCTTCTCTGCAATCAGGAAGTTCTCAGCCAGAACAAAACTGTCATGTTGCCAAGACCAACACTCATCCAGGAAAAATGAGGATCTGGATACCAATTACCACAAAGTTAAACATATCTGGTGTACCAGCCATACAAATAAGAACCAAAATGAAGTGCTGGGAGAGGGCAGCACCACACAGAAGCTCCTGGGTCCTGTTGGGCAGCAGAGTGTAGCAGTGACTGAAATGCTTACAGGGGGTGCCCAGCCTGCATCACCGGCCCCACAGGACCTGCTGCTGCTTCTGGCCACCCACCTCGCCCAAGAGTCCCCCCTGCAGGGGCTGAGAAAGGGGGTCTGGACCAGAGAACCACATGCTGGGAGCCATCAGACTGATGCCTACTGCTTCTATCAAGGGTGAAGCAGAGCTTGTTCTGCAGATGTGAGGTTTTACAAGAGCCATATGAACAAAACGCAGCTGCCCTGGCACTGGTAGCACGCACCAGCACAGTGACGTCCCTGAGAGGGGTACGAAGGCACCTGGCTATGAGACCAGTCACCTGAGCACAGAGAGTTGCCTTGCTCATCATACCATAGGGTGCAGGCCACAACATCCAGCCCCACAGCACTTTGAAGCAGCACACGAGCGCATCCTAGCCACAGGGTGAGGATCACCGACATGTTACGTGACAGGTCACCAAGCACCACAGCAGTTTGTCAGTTCCTTCTCTTTTTTGGAATAGCATTCATATATAAAGGAAAATACACAAGTTGTCTTGCATGCTCTTTAACATTTCAGTCTAGAAAATGCTGAGTGAACTAGCAAACCAGAAAACTGCCACGCAAAGCAAGCTTACAGCTGCATTGTGCTGTTGAAATACATTCTGCTTCCCAACAGACACACCTTTAGTCCTACGTAACACACCTGATTTCAGAGCACTGAAATTCTTTCCAGGAAGAATTATCTTACCTATCATGATGAACTGAGAGTCTGGTGTGAATGACGCCTCCAGCGTGACAGCCTTACTATTGTTATAACCCTATGGCACAAAACAGGAGAATATGTAGTAAGAGTGTGTCCGCTGTAACCTTGCAACCCAAGGGCACCTGCTCCCAAAACTAACACCAAGTCTGAAGCAGGTAACACAGGCAAGATGCTCACCCCAAACGTGTGCAGGATAGCTCCTTTAAAGGCATCAATTAGTCGAATGAACCCCCCATTAGTCGATATGAGAATGAGTTTGCCATCGTTACTGAACTTCAGGCCTGTCCACTCACACGTGCGATCATACTGCATCTTGAATGTAGCAAATGGCCCCTTCAAAGAAAAAAAAGGGAAATAGGACATAGACTCCACATGTGCTGCTGCTAACAAGAGTCTGCTTTTAACATTAGCCCAGGGAAAAGTTTAAGATTATTTTAAAAGAAAATCTTTAGTCCTAAGATACCAATGGAAAGTGCCATGGGAGAACAATGTCACTTCATGTGTGGGTTTCAAACAAGTATAAAACCACAGTTTCCATAGCAAAGAAGAACCACGGTAGGGTGTTTCAACACACAACAGTCCCATACCCTACCACACTCAACAGCAGATATAAATTTGAGGTAGAACGAAGTTTTCAAACAAGGCCACTAACTGGAGCTAGAGAAAGAGCCTGAGCCAGCGTTACCATCATCTGACTTCTCAAAAGCCATGCAACTAACTATGCCCAGTGCTCAGCCAGTTCAGCTGCCCACCCAGTTACAGCTGCCTTTGAAATTTCCATCCTTTTTATCCATCTTTGCTCCACCTTCACCAGTGTTCTTCCAAAATGAACAGCAAGGCAAAAAAAAAAACTCCAAACACCAAAATGCATCAACAACAAAAAGCCTAAACAGCAACAGGTTAACAAGTTAGGAGGAGCAACCTTTAACATTGGTTCAAGAGTGGATTTCAGGATTTGGTGAGAGCCCATATCCTTTCCTGTCTGTGAGATGTGTACTTGGCAAAAACTTTCTAGGTGCCAAGTAGGCACCTCAGGCAGTAAGGGGCAGTAAGGAAATCTAGCCCCTAAGCACCAAGTTTAGACTACTTCTTGCAAGCTGAAAAGCTCAAGAAGTGAAGTAGCTCACCTTGTCAAAAGAACGGAGATCATAAAGCTTCACCATTTCAGAATTGACTCCAGCAGCAAAAATCAACCCTTCTGGGTCAAAAGAACACACAGGCTTCCCTTGGAGATGCATCAAACCCTAGGAAAAAGTCCAAAATATTTTGTGAAACTGATGCTTGCATTTCTACCAGCACCCTTTGAGCCCATTGTGAGCAGGACAGCAGCCTACAGGCAGAGCAACTGCATTTCAATTGTAAATCTTGAGGTTTTACAAAGGTTCAGAACTCAGCTTGTCAAAAGCAACTCTGACTGCTTCAGATGATCCTACACAGTGATTGCCATTTGCTGCAAATGGCAAAGTTTACACTAGAACAAATCAAGACCTCCTTTGAGCTGTCATCCACTCAAAAAGCACCCAGCAAAGGGAGAATGATGTGGCTACACTAATAACCATACCAGACAGCACCACAGAACACTGCTGCTGGGATTGATGGTGACACTCCATCACTCATGGCCACAAAGGAGAGGGAAAGAAGATATTCTGAAATCAAGTAGAAACAGCTCCAGTGAACACTGATGCTGAACTCTTCATGCCTGTCTAATGAAAACTCCCATCTTCTGGAAGCCAACAGACCTCACATATAAGAACTGACAGATTGCTATCAGTGCTTATTTTTAATGTTAACTTTTCCTGAACTCACACAGTAGAAAAGACTTGAGAAAATTTGCAAAAATGCAACGAGATCTGTAATTTTCTGTATCCTGACTGGCAGGTCTCTTGTGTTTTAGCCAAATGTAACTGCATGCATATAAGTAAGAATCCACCTTTGATTAAATCAACAATACATTCTGCATTTCAGAAAAAATACTGTTCTTCTCCAGAGAAGTCTAGAGACTTCACTGCTGCTCTCTTCTTTCCAGTTTGGGCCAGTTCTCCCTGTGATCTCTGAAGGTTGGGCAGTAAGGCAGCCAGTACTCAGGCTCTGGCTTCCCGATAATATTTCTGGGCACTTCAGCTGCCATCTCATGGGCAAACTGAAAATCACAAGTAACACTTCCCCAACCTCTTTTCAAGCTGCTGGATGCAGCTTCCAGTGACAAGTCCGAGATTTACCACTCTTACAACTTCAGGCATTAGCATAAATCACTGAATTTACAGCTCTGTCTCATCTGTAGCAACTCTGAGACTGAGATTCATCCCACGGCAAACTTACACACTGGCATTAAAGGCATGCTCCTACAGAAAGGCAAAAATCCAGATTTCTTGTTGGGAAAAGCTTGGTTTTAAGAGATAAAACCATTTTGGAAGAAATGTAACCTTTTGTTCCTCTTGCAATCACAGTTACATCAACTGGAATAAGTAAACAGCCCTCTCATATAAGCAAAATGGTCCCAGTGAGATGGGAAAATACGAGAGCACAGCACGATGTGTCCAGATATAGGTTCGAATCAATTCGACAAAAAACCCCTCTACTCCTAGTCTTTCATTCCTGCCCCTCCTGCCAGCTTTGGTACTTTTCTCAGGCCACGTAAGCCTGTTTCCACCAAAAAAGTAAAGTATTCCAGCAAAATAAATTAATTTTAAAAAACCCAACCAGGTTTTGCCTTGCTAGAAAGTTAAATCTGCCCACAAACAGGTCTGACGAACAATAAAGGTGATGCAAGGAGGGGGGGAGACCATATGGCTGCTCTGTTACTTTACGTTATAAGTTTCTTCATCACATTTAATTGCAACAAGGCATTAAACACGCACTGTAACCACTGAGATAAGACGCATTCCCAACCCAGGAGAGATGCTGGCCAAGAGCAGACACACTCTGCATAGGGTAGCAGCCTGATGAACAAGCTGATGACATCCAGCTCTTCTTGTTTCATCAGCTCTAGGTGTTACTTCTTGCTCTTCCCAGAGCCTCTCCAGCAGAAATAGGTGAAAGTGAGTGGTGTTACACATGTGACATACATATTTCAAAGAGATTTGTGATCAAGGCTCCTTCAGCATTCCAGGAATGTGTCAACACTACATCAGCAGCATAGATTTCTGGCAGTATTTTTGTTTTATAACAAGCACATATCCATTTTTCATCCTTCTAACCAAAAATGCAACACACTCTGCACAAGAATTTATTATCCTACCTGGCAATTTGGAGAGCGGAGATCCCAAAGTCGAATAGTTTTATCAAGGGATCCAGAAATAAAAGTATCATCCACTGGAGACATGGAAAGAGCAACCACTCTGCAACACAGACAGCCACAGGCATCAGAAACACTAGAAGTGAATGAAGCAACACCCATCCCAAAAGTTGTGCACAGGCTCAAAATTGCCATGAACAGTTCTACAAAGCAAAAACCAGAGTGGAGTGTAACGTAACTCAAGCTCATTACAGTCATTATTTCCACTCCTCCTGTAGTGTCTCTGAGCCACACCTTACCTTTTCGTATGCCCCGGGAAATAGCGGATGTATTTGTTGTCATGCAGAGAGAGGTATCGGATTGTATCTGAAAACAGGAACAAACCAGGAGAGCTTTATTATACCATGAGCTCAACGTTATCTCAAAGTGGTCACACAGTAAACTTGCTCCTCACAGCAACAGCAACCCTGCCACAGACAAGAACTCTGCTCACTCGATTTTGAGTCAGGCTTTGAACCAGAACCAAGTTAGAAACAGACATAAACCAACTTAGCTTCCAAGACAGAACTGAAAATCAGGCACCAGTAAAAGATACTTCCTGTAGTCTGAAATCATATCACATCTTAAAGGCAAGATGTCATGTCGTTTATGTAAGTTAATTTCAAAGTTGCTAAAAGCACCAGTGGGTTTCAGGCCATTGCTCTCAGAAAATTGAAAGTATCAAATTCACAAAGTTGATACTACCACTTTTATTTTTTGCTATACAGCATGAACCTTGCTGTCTTGCCTACGTATACTCTATCAAGTAAGTCTCCAGCTAAGCAGTAACCACAGGAAATGTGCCAATTCTAGCATTTGGCTGAAGAGAAGATAAAAATATGATCTCCAAAGCCAAGACAAGCCCATTAATGAGTGGCAAATGTCTCTCTTTTTTTGTTTTTAATCTGAAAATCAACTGCTTCATACATTCATCTGCACTTAGAGCAGTTAAGCTTCAAGAAGAGAACAGGGGAGTAATTTAAAGCTCAGTCCACTTAAAGCAACCTTAAAAACATTGGATAAATCAGAGCAGCACAATGTCTCAAGCTGCAATTTTATTCTGAGTATAGATGAACATACCAAGAGTAGCCCATAATTTTGGAAGATACTGCTGAAACTCTCAAAAGATTAAAAGAAATCCTTGTTAAAAAAAGAACAAGGAAACCACTAAAAAGTGCCTTCTGTGCTTCAACAATCTTTATTTGCAAATCCATCCGAGCAATGAAACACAAAGAGCAGAAGTTAAACCTCTGATATCAGAAGCAACATCTGCAAAATACCTTGGAGGACACTAGTTTAAGACATAGCTGGATGGAAGACACTGGCATGGTGCACCTGCACCACACAGTGCCAGGAGTCTCCGACTGTGGCAATAAGTCCTGCTGCAGCTCCAAAGATAAAACTGAGGGAACAGAACAGTTTTACTTTTTACTTGGAAGAACAAAAGCCAACAGGATGCAATACCCAGAGAGCATTTAACATCCTAAGGGCTACTGTGATGAGAGCTTTTTGAAAGGCTCATTCATAAAAATTTAATTTCTGTCAAACAATTATCAAGTTACCTGTTTTGCCGGAGGTTTCACATCAAGCCGAGCTCAGAGGCTCAGACCACCCTCCCTCCAGTATTCCACAAGCAAACTAAAGCTGATTGATCAAGCTGGAAACGTGACGCTGGTGACAAACCATTCTGGAAGGTTCTAAGAACCTGAGGTGGCTATGCAAAATATAAATCCTCAACACTGGTGTCACATCCCATCACAGCTAGAACCAACAGGCTTCAGGCATGCTCGTAAGACACATCTCTAGTTTTTCCTGCAAGAACTGCCATTACCTGATTTCCAAGGCATCCACATAGAATTCCATCTTCTCTTGCTCCAGAGGAAGCACTGAGAAGCCGTGATCCTTTGTGATCCGTTGTGCTGGCAGCGCTCTGTCCCAGGCAAGGCAGTGGCCTGTACAGTTATCTTCTGTACCGGGTGGTATCATAGACCCTCAAACTGTACAAACTACTACCTCAGCCTGGAATCAGGCAAGAGGAACTATACTGAAAGGTCTTGAGGAAATTTTCAGAATTGGACTGGTAGCAACTCTTAACACATAACATACTCAGGAGCACATGCCAGCGCTCCCGTAACACATTCCTGGGTTCATTTTCCCTCCCAGTAACTGTGTAACAGGTTAAACACAATACACCTTGCCCCAGACTGCCTGCAACAGGGACTACAGAGTCTCTGGACCCTGACAAAACACACTGCCAGTTTTCTGAGGCTTATGGCTCATAACAGCAACAAATACTTTCACATTACATCTTTTTCTTTTCTTCTAATTGAGTATTTATCATAAAGTTACCATCAGGATGAATACTTTTAAGATTTGGTTACTTTTGGTTACACAAAAGTCTTGCCAGTGCTTATAAACAAAAACTCACAACTCAAAATGACACTAAAAATCCTTAATTATTAATTGTAAATTCAGTAACAGCCAACCCAGACATGTGATGTAAAAAACAATGTAGTAGAAAAAAAAGTAGGCTGTGGAACAGACTAAAAAGGCAAGTGCTTCCCATCACATTTTTAATCCTTTTACACCATTAACTGCAATTCCATTGGAAATTTCCTTGTTCCTCTAGTTTCAGTCCCAGCTTGTTCCAGTTGAACCTGAATTCCTAACTCTTAACTTCCCTCTACTCTACATTCATATTCTTTTAAATTCCTAAAATAACCTAGCACACATCACAAGGCACCAATATCTACTGTCAAACTCCATCTCTGCAAAGGTAAAACCAAAACAAAGACACCATTCCAGAAATAATTATGAGTTTACAAATACAATGTTAAAACCCATTTATAAAGTGCTGTGCTCCCAGACTCGTTCACTGAAAAACTCTCAGGCACTGACTACAACACATAAAACTGAGTCAAAATTTGAAATGAATACTAGCTTTCTCCAGCCTTAGGAAGAATTAATATACCTATCTGTGCCAGCTCTTCAATTTGAATTTTAAATTAAACTCAAATACATTGACAGAGAGCATGTCACCAAGCTCTAGAAGCCCTTTGATGTCACCAATTTACCAAGAGTAGCTGTCACAGACACTGGCTGTGGAGAAACAGCATGAAAATGGGTGTTCTATTACATGGAAAAAAATAGATTAAGAGAAGCAAAGCCAGTCTCAGAAGAGATCTGTGACATCCTCCAGGCTTGGCTGGTGGTCTGCAGAGTTACCTGAACTTCCTGCCCTCCCTGCTGCATACAGAGGATTGAAAAGTACTCCTCCCTTTGCAGCTGGCTTGTGGGCACACCAGGCAGAGCTGCGGCATTGAGCCCACCTTCTGGCCACATGCTCCTTCCACCTCATTTCACACGTAAGGAACCAAAGCACAGAGGCTGAATGACAGCACTGGCATCAAACAGCAAAGAGAACAGTAGAGAAGAACTTTTACCACCATAACAATGTTTAATCTCTCAGTTACTGCAGCAATGAACAAAACTCACATAACCACGCTCAAGGGAATATCACCGAGTTGTGCATTAGAGCTGAACCATTAATTCCTCTATCTCTGACAGTGCATTTATCACAGAAAAGTTGCTACAATTTTCCCCAGCTATTCATCCAGGCCTGTAGTTTCAAGTGTAAGGAAATGAAATATGTTCAGCTCTAGTGGATGACTTACCATCTATTTTGTTGGAGCTATACACAACAGTGTTGGCAGCATGTGTGTACCTGATGAGGTCCACTCCGTACTTCTTACTGTACAGCGTTCTCTTTGGTCTGTCAGAAGGAAGCAGAAATAATTACACTCACTGCAACAAAAAGCTCAAAGCAAAGCTCAACACAGTAACAAGGCCCGTTTTCACTGAGATATTCGAGATTGTTTCAAGAAGTCAGATGTTTTTATAGAAAGAAAGAAAAGCTTTTGTATTTGGTTTTCAAACAAGCACCTAGGTGCTTCCTCCAATACCATCCCCAGCCTTATGGAGTTCCCTCTAACACCTGCAAAATACACTTGCTTGTCTCCTCCAAAAATTCTTTTTCCCATGCTATCTACTATAAAAAGAACATGAGGAGCTAGCATAATGAGCCCTTAATGCCAACCAGCATTGCCTCATCCTTCCCTTGCCCATCGAAAACTCCAATTCATCTGCTGCTTATTTTAGTGTGAGAATAATTTGTCCTTTTGTTCTGTTACTTCAAAACCTGGAACAGGGTGTCTCGTTCAGAATAGGGCTGCTCAATAATCACACACACGTACATACATCAACAGTCTATAAAAGCAATGGTAACACAGGGACTTTCAAACTACTGGAGAATTATACTCATATCCCATCTTAATTAAAGCATGAAACTCAAATGTAACAGTCTGCAACAGAATTAAAGACATTCTAGTGAGAATGAAGACATTATACAGTACTTTTTTTTTTTTTTTTTTTAGGGATCTGGCAAGCAATTGATGTATTGCAGTACTAGAAATTTAAACACCTAAGTAAACTTAGAAGTAGCTTGGTTAATCAACTAATCTTGCAGCAGCACATACTTAAACAATGCAAGGTCTCCACCATCCTCCTGCCCCTTTTTATCTCAGCTGAGGTAGGATGGATGTTTCAAAGCTGAGCAGTCAACACCAGAAATAAAGAAAGCACTTCCAGCAGTTATTTTTAATCTAGAAATTCACAACTCTGTTCATTTCACATACCCAATGAGTATTTTACCAACACAAACCAAAGAGGACAGCACTGGAACAGAAACAAACAGCAGGAGTGGTTTAAACGCATGCTGCTGCCAAAAGAAAACTTCAGGCTACACCCTCAGACAAGGTATTTCTGAAATGCTCAACTTCTTCCTTGTTTTCATTAGCCTCAAACTGACACACCCAGAGCACAGGTTGGAGACTTTTCATATCAGAAACAGACATTAATTCCTAAAGATTAATTCCCAAACAGCAGAAGCCATAGGGCTTGACTTCAAATGAACTTGCTGGGGACAAGCTTCCATTAGCTGAAAGCCAACACAGCAAATGTGATTAAATCCCACATATGAACCATACTGCTTATACTGAATCTCCACAGATTCTTCCTCAGTTCCTCCAGTAGATTTTAAAATCAATTTTCAGATGCAAACATGCTACAAACACATCAAATGTAAATTTAGGCACCAAAATTTCGTAACATTATGCCTGAGATACTTCCTCATACTGCTCTCTGTAGTTAGCTCTGCTGTTGACTGAACAGGAAAAATAAAACCAAACAGCAACCTCAAAACATGCCAAGACCATCATCCCTAGTCCAGCTCTTCGTCATCTATGAGAATCGTAAAGCTTAGAAGCTCTACGCAGAATAAATTAATATATACCAAAGAAAATACAGACAGTAAAGATCAATAGATGGGCAAAATCACGTTTACCAAAAAGGAAAGAAAGCACTAGTGTTCTCAGAAAGGTGAAGTTTCATGTAAGCTGACAGAAGCAGACACATGACACTTCACACAAGACCGACCACCTGCTCCCAGACAACTACTTAAAAACACAAACAAGAAAACTAAGCTGTACATATCTGAGCAAATCACAGTCAAGAAACCTTGTTCCAAGTTTAAGGTTAATCTATCCAGCCCACCAGTAAATTAAGCAATAAGGCCAAAGAAAAACATCTTAGGAGACCAGAGTTAAATCTGCTACAAACACAAAACGGAACCCAGGTGAACAACCACTGCAGGTGCAACCAGCCCCCAAAAGCAGGCTCGCTGGTATGTCTGGTAAGCCCCACGGTGAAGCAGGAGACCAGATCCATCACCTCTTTATCTGCGGAAACAACACACAAGTGATACATACTACAAGCCAAACCCAGCCTTTGCCAGACCACCCCTGCATTACGCCAGGGTTACAAACGTGGAGCCACGAGCCCCAGGGCTGCTGTCTCCCCCAGCACGAAGCTCCATTCTCCAAGTCTGCACAGTCTCAAGCCCCAACAGACACCAGTAACTGTTTCCCTTATGCTTTTGAGTCAGCCTATTGTTAAAATATTGATGATGCAGAACGTCTTAAAAAAAAACAAGAACAACAACTTAGTTGTTTATGCATTTTGAAATAAAAGTGGAATCTCAGGTTACTGGATGGTCATGAAGGAGGGCAAATTTCCCAAGCTTGCTGCCTAAGCCTACACACCAAGGGAATCTGTTTCAAGGAGATAACTGTCCCATCAGCCCTTGGCTACACGTTGCTGTTTAAACTGTCATGGTGCTTTTAGAATCTGAAGTTCCCTGATCTGGGGCTTGGTCATACTGGTTAATGACTCTCATAGCTGTGTGGCTCATTTCGATGTGGCAAAAGAAAGCAAACTAGGTGAGGGTGTACCTAGAGTGTAACCGAACAGTTCCATTTTAATTCTACCAGTAGAACTTCTCATTAACAGCGGGAAATGAACAAAAAAAAAATCCCAACACAACAAATATTGCCATTTTTACACATGGGAAAGCTTTAACATTCAGGCCCTTTGATGAAGCAAAGTATCTTATATGGAAACCCAGAAAGCAGGACACTTCCTCCTGGCTATTATACTCACTAACAATTACATAGATAAGAAGGTGAGGCTTCCAGGCCCTTCATATGGTGGTTTAAGGGAGTGGGGTGGGGGCAGGCATGGTGCAGGAGGGAAGCGGCCTGAAACTGTCAAATTCCACCATGTCACACCAAGCATCATTCACAGATGTGATTTTTCATCTCCACATCTCTAGGGACAAAGTGATTCACAGCTAAAACATTCCAAGTGAAAGAAGAATTCTGTCCTGCATCCCTAGGTACCTCTAAAAATCACCATTACGCTTTTAAGTCAATTGATAGTACATGAGAAACTTCCAAATTCATTTTATAACCACTAGAGAAATGCACCCTGAAGCAAGGGTTACCTTGATGAAACTACTCTCATTGCCCTGGAGCACTGGAGTCGACAACCATCGATCTTCTACATTTAACTTAATTAAAGCAAACCCCCTGACTGTAAAGCACACATCAGGACTGGCTGGAGACAGGGATGAAAGGACCAAAGCCCTCCTAGCCCATCAAACTATTACAAGTTTGAAAGGGGAAGAGCAATCGATACCATCTGCATTAACATCACTCAGCCCTTCTGCTCTTGTGTATAATTAGGATCTAGAATCCACAGCAGACACCACACATATGAAGTTACCGATTAGATAAAAATTAAATCATTTCAAGTAAGAGTTCACTCTCTCAGGTGGGAAGCATCAACAAGTTTAACGTGTAAAACATGCAAACTAAATAGGAATGTAAAATAAGATATAATAAGTGGCCTTCAAAGTTAAGAAAATACGCAGGATGCAATCTTTTGAACACGAGTGTGATGTCTCGGTCTGCTTGAAGGAGGATTAGAACACCTGAGTCACCAGAAAAACCACACCACACTGACACAACTGACTCCTGGTACTCCAAAGTCATTTCCTTCTCGTTCCTCCATTACTACCCTGTCCTTTTTATTTGCTCTCCTACACTACACATGCTCGTTTCTCTTTCATTTTCTCTGTCTGTGACGCTCTCTAGTCTTGACTTTACAAAAAAACCAAACAACCAACACACCTCAGAATTACATCTCTATGCCAAGAAGCACATGTAAATGAAAACTTAACATTTAAAAGAATTTACAGCAGCCAAATGCATACTTGTACCAACTGAAAAAGTTTTAAATGGAATAATGACATCATCTGGCTCAGTCTGTTCCAGCTCTCACAGAATACAAATATGTTCTGCGTATGTTCCAAAACATCAACTGCCAAGTATTACTGGTGGTCTCACTTGCACTTTTTTATCCCATGAACAAGAGCAGCACACACTTCTATTGTAAATTTCTGGGGTTTTAACCATAAAACAAGACAAGTATCCTGTGATTAATGAAAGAAGAAAGATAAACTGGACAACTCTGTCCAGTGAGAAACACACACAACTTAAATCATTACCTTAAGGTAACAAATCAATAAATACCTTCATTGCCTAAATATAAATTAAGAACATTTGAAGACACATGTAAATCACACATGTATTTTAAGTATGCTTCACAGATAAAAACATAACTAAAGAAAAGGATTTAAAGCATAGAGGACCACCTTTCTTTGCAATGTTCTCAGACACCATTTAGGAACTAGGTTTTAAGGAAAATACCATCAAGTTTTTACAAGTCACAGTAAAACACACCATCATCCCCTTTTGGCTTAAAGCATTTATTCAAGAAATTACACTCAAATTAAGTTGTTTAAAAGGGCACATCTGTGTGCTGCTCACAGTAATTGCTTTTTTTGTTTGTTTTGTTTTCGTTATATTACTACGACTTAAGCTCAGAAAAGCCCAAGAAGCAGGCGTTGTGCTGAGGGACGTGGTTTCGTGGTGACCTTCTGAGGCCTGGAAATGTGACCGGACTCAACCCTTGAAGCGTAACAACTAAGTCCTCGCAGCAGCTAACTATCTCACACTTGGGAACCGACCATCGCTGGCTCCAGCCTCCAGAGGACACGAAGCAGAGACATCCGCAGGGCAAACAAAACCACGCTACTCTCGTATCCACGCAACACTTTAACCGTTTATAAACTCCCACTGCACAACACCCCGTTGTGGCTCCAATTACAAGCCCACCCTAAAAAAATAAAAAAAATGGGGAAAAAAAAAAA